CAACCTTAAACGAACTTAAAGATTTTTTGGCGCGATCACGTGTCCGTACTTTTTTGGTGGCGATACTGGGGAAGATCTTGAAGTAACTGCTTCTACAAAGGCTGTAAGCGTTAAGCTCCCTCCAACAGATTGGTTACTGGCACAACACAGACAACTGCTCAACTGCATCCATATAAGTTTACTAAAACTTTAATTGAAGTAGTAAAATCTAGAGGCGCTGAGGTTCGAATCGCCAGTGCTCAAGGATTGGAATTCGACAAATATAAGGTATCAGGTGTTCGCCTTTCTACAAACGAAACGATTCCTACTGATATAATTATCATTGCAATGGGCCCTTGGAGTGGTGAAGTCTTTCATGGCTTGCAAAAAAAGTGGTCGCGCTTTTCAGTTGCCAAATGTTTCGGGTCAAAGAGCACATAGTATTGTAATATGACCAGCTGTCGAGATATCCGCTCATGTTTGTTTTGCACGCTTAATCTTTGGTAGAAGATTCTCCCAACCTGAAATTTATCCACGTCCAAAAATGGTGAAGTTTACGTTTCGAGAAAATGTAATGAATCTTCTTTACCTGCTACTGCAAATGATTACATTCCTAATCCCCATTGCGATTAAAAATTTAAAAACAATATACCGTAGAGCTATCCCCCCCAAAATAATACCCTACCACATAAAGTACTCCACCAATAAAATCACTGGGTTCGTGAATAGTACCCGGTACTATTCAATGTTAAAAATGAGTTTCTTGAATAAAACCCTGGGTACTGTATGCAGTGCTCTACGGTAAATACACTTTCCCCAGATATCTTGGGCAATGTTACTGTGCTTCATGAACAATGCTGTTATATACCAATATCCGATGATGACAAGCCTTTAATAGGAAAAGTACCATGGTTAGATGGTGTTTATCTTGCAACAGATCATTCAAGTTTGGGGACTTTTAAATTCATCCGGCACAGGGAGGGTTATTGCGGAGATGGTTTTAGAAGGTCAGGCAAAATTTGCAGATGTGAGAGAACCATTACATTCATTATAAAAAGGACCTAACTCGAAGATGAAGCTTTCAATTTTTGCTGAAACGAAAATATGCACTAAAATTTAATGATTACCATTGACTACTGCTTACGGTATTTTTCAAAAATAATATCCCATTATTAAGATCTGGGTATTGCTCACATTCACCATTCATACTGGTATATTTTCTGAATTAGACCCGGGGATATAAATCAGTTTTATCCCCTGGCCGACCCCATCTATGTAACTTTTTTCATGTACCTATTTCTACTGGATATATATGGGGGTGAGTCAGTAGAAACGCACCAAATTTTTTCTAAGTAAATTTTTTCAAATATTTGAACAAAAATAACTTAACAATAACTTAAGCAAATTTAATAAAAATTTTTTTAAATTAATTTTATAAACTTGTAGAATTTATTTTTAAAAAATTGTATTAAATTTAATTAAGCTTTTGTTGTGTTATTTTTGTTCAAAGATTCAAAAAAAATTTCATTAAAAATTTGGTGCATTTCTACTAACTTATTTTTATATATTTAATTTAGATAATTAAGTATAATTCTATTTAATCTTAAATGTCAAAAACAGTGCATAAAAGCTTTAAGGGTAGAGTGTATGTCGATTATTTATCATATGATCTCAGTAGTACAATGGGATTTTATGCATAAATTAAAATATATTGCTAGTAAAAATTCCCAAAATTTTGTAATATACAAATTAAACCTTCTATTTATAGTAGTAAAACTTTTAGGGGCTATATTATTTTTAAAAAATGGAGATATATATGTTGTAAAGTTTCTAGGGATTTCTCACATTTTCCAGAGTTATACAAAAAAAACATAGTAAAAATATTTCTAAAACAGGTAATTATCCAATTAGATTTGTGTTTACTATGTAATCTGTTATACAAAA